AGGAATATGTGGATAGAACATTTTAAAAATTGCATCTACCCACAGGATTTCATGCCCAGCCTTGGGAAGTTGGCAGACTTTCTGTTCAGATCTGGGGAACATGGTGGATTTTCTTCCAGTGGCCAAGGCCCAACTGCTGGAGCTCCAGACACAAGGTCTGGCCCACGTGGGGATCAGAGAGAGCAGGAAGGGTCCATGATGCTCTGGACTGCCCACATTTGTTATCTGCAGGAGCATCATCTTTAATGCTTCTGAAATTAAGTTCCTCTTTAAAGGAAAGGAGACATGCTGTATGAATTTTTACATTTATATAAAATTTATCTATCCACGTTGTGAAAAATCTGCCTCATTTTGGTACTATATTAATGTACAGACTCTGCTCCATCCTGAAAGAAGAAAGGAGGAGGGTGGGAATTTATCTTACATAAATCCCCAACGTGTCCTCTCTAATATTTATAGCCAGCACAGAATGGTTTTTTTTTTTCAAGCTGCAGAAATAAAACTGTCAGCTTAGAAGATAGCCTTTTTATTTTATCAGTTTCCAGCTTGATTTCCAGCAGAGACAAAAGGCATAATAAAATATTTTCCATTGATCCCTGAGATGCAGTCAAAGATCACAAGAAGCCAAGGACAGCTGCTGTGCTGCAGCAAAGCCCCAGCACTAGGGAGAAGTGGGGAGCTGGGAACATTCTCCATTTCCTAGTCCTTTTGGCCCAAACCAGTGGTACAGCCACAACTCCTTGGGCAAGTCTGACCTTCCTGGTGCTGCTGAGGGTCAGAACCTGGCTCCTCGCCACCCTGAGAGCAGAGCTCTCACACTTTTGGCAACAAATGCACAGTCTTTAGGGGAGTTTGGCTGGCAGGATGACCCTGGGGCCATGCCAAGGGCCCTTCACACTGGTTGGGGGAACGGTGGTGCTTTTTGTTCATAAGTGTCTGGCTCTTGATCCCAGAGCCCAGCTTGGGATGCTCCAGCCTTCATCCTTGCTGCAGGCAAAGGCTGGCAGCGTTTGCTGCCAGGGTCTTCTGAAGCAGGACCCTGCCTTTCACCTCTCTCCTATGAACAAAGCCAAGTTTCTGCCCAATATACTGAAAGTATTGGCTGAATAATCAGAGGGGAATCTCAGACAATGTCTTTACAGGACCCTGAGGCTACCAGAGAAAATCCTTACTTGATTACAAGAGGAGATGTTTAACCTTAACACATGTGGCCGCCTCCCCACGGCAGGCTCTGCCCGCTGCTGCCTCCTCAGGCCTTAAATCTCATCTAATTAGGAAATTACTCATGCAAACATCCAAACTCACCTCGTAAAGACTGAAAATAAGGCTACAAAAAAGCACACGCAGAGAAACCGGAGCTTTTTTATGAAGCCAGGTCATTTCAATGTTCATTAATTCAAAACAGTAAGAGGAAAATTAATTTATGCAATTAAAATTATTAGATTAAAAGCAATTTTATTAAACCACTGTCCTGTTGTGAGCAAGCCTGTGCTCTGCCACGTGATTTCAATGCTTTTCAAAATGAGGAGACTTTTCAAATCACTAGGCTTTATGTAGAGTAAAGGAGTAATTAGATACCCAAAACAATAATTATCTCAATGAGAGACAGAGAAAGCAGGCAAGTGTAAATACACTCCCCGGGGTAAATGCAGACCCACAAAAGGAATTGTTATGCACAAGCCAAAGCACGGAGCAGCCAAGCACAGCCCCATGTCAAACCCGACGAGTTTCTGCACACCAAAGACAGCCCAGACCCTGATCTGTCTTGTTGCTGTCTCGCTGATAAAGGTTAATCAAGCACAAAGCAACACATAAGCTCTTGGGAATGTATTTCCAGCTCTGGGTGTGTAACACCCGAGACAGACATGGCTGAAGGGTCCATTTTCCTGCAGGGTACAATGATGCTGGTTTCTGGGGAGCCCTTCCTGGCAGCAGCTGCTGGGAAGGCAGGGAGAGGCCTCACTCACTGCCTGCAGAGCAGTTACAAAACCACAGAGATGTGGCCAGAAATGGATGGGTGCTGCAGAAGAGAACACCAGCAGAGCTGCTTGCGCAGAGGCCGGCGGGAGCTGCCCCCCTGGGAGGGAGCAGGGGCAGGATGTGAGGGGTCCCCCCGGCTGCTGGGGAGCAGGACCACCACAGCACCCACAGGAGCAGGGTTTTGTGCCTGAGCAGTGGGCAAATGTGGATTATCCACACCTTCTGATAAGCAGAATTTGTGCACATGAAGCTAAAGATGATTGGGGCTCTGCTCAGCCCTGACCTGTGCTCAGGGGGCTCAGGCACAAGGCCAGGCTGGAGCATGGGAAGGTCATGGGCATCTATGGGCAGGCACCAAGCCCACACCCATGTCTTATTCTGTATTTTGAAACTTTGGCTTGCAGACAATCAGAGAATAACAGAATGGGTTGGAAGGGACCTTTGAAGGTCATCTAGTCCAACCCCCCTGCAGTGAGCAGGGACATCTTCCACTAGACCAGACTGCATCCAGCTTGGCCTTGAATGTTTCCAGGGGCATCCAGCACCTCTCTGGGCAACCTGGGCCAGTGTCTCACCACCCTCAGCATTAAAAATTTCTTCCTTATATCTGGTCTAAATCTAGCCTCTTTTATAGAATCACAGAATAATCTCTTCAGAGACAGAATGATCACAGACAATGTCTGTGACTGTATCTCTATAGAAGCTAATTTTTTGTCTGTTTTTAAATTAAAAAACCCCAAAGCTTAAGGTAAAGACCTGGGCTAGCCCAAATTCCTGCTCCAGCAAGCACTCCAGCCCTGTGTGCAGGGCTGAAGGTGGAAGCTATAAGCAATGTCTTTCCTGGTGACCCAGCCCAGCACGCAGTGAAGGTGCCCAGAGCTGGATTCCCATTTCTGTGCTGCTCTGATGTGCGCTTGCAGCTGGCAGGAGAGGAGCAGCCTTTCCCAGCACAGATGCACTGCCGCTGAAATATCAGCTATCAGCAGGCACCTGAGTTGCCTTAATCCCACCTAAATCCTAAATCTCCTGTGCCTACCTTCTACTAATCTTCCTGTTTTATCAAACGGAGAACGTTCCCCAGCGCCAGCCGCCAGGTGAGACGGCGGCGGCAGCTCGAGGGCCCCTCCTGAGGTCTGGCAGCACGAGGATTTTCAAGGAAACAGCATTTAAAAAGCAGGACAAAAAATGTGCATTTTAAAAACATAAGACCAGCAAGAAGCACTTTTGACAGAATTCTGTTGTTTCTGACTGTAAAACAGCAAAGCACAAGCCAAGGCCCAGAGCACCATGGGGGGCTGCTCAAGAAGAAAGCGCAGAGGAGGGGCACAGCAACAGCTCCAGCAGCGAGGGAACACCCAGGTGGGAAACAGCTGGAGTTATGGACTGAGGAGAGATGGGCTCTGGCAGAGCCAGTCCCAGCCCCAGCCTAGCCCACACATGCCCAGAGCTCTCAGCCCACCCACGTCTCTCAGCACCCTCAGCACAAAGGTCCAATCAACCCTTCACCAACAACTCCTGGTGTGCACAAACAGCCCCAAAGTCTTTTGCACTGTTGTATCAAGGTTAACACCTTCCCAGTAATGCCCTTCCTACGTGGTCTCGTGGCTTGAGGAACCCATTCCTTCCAAGGGGAAGGAAACCAGGCAGCAATTCCCATCTCTGCTGCTGCATCATCCGCTGCTCACCAGCAACCTGTGTCCCACATTTCTGAGATCCACGGGAGAACAGGGCAAATCATTCATATTTGATCAGCCCAGGAAGGAGCAGGAGGAGGGAAAAGGCTGCTAGAGCAGAGAGGCATTTAGAGGGAGGAGAGCTACAGGAGCCAGCACCCTGCACCAGAGGGACTCCTGCTGTTTTTATCCTGTAAGGAGAGTTTTTCCAAGCCTTCCACTGCTTCACCTTGGAAAGAAACTGTGGAGTGCAACAAAGCTCCCGTGCCCCCGGAACAGCCCGCGGTGCTGAGCTGGGGGTTGAGAGAGAGTTTAGTTTAAAAAAAAACAAACCCACAAAAAAATCCAAACAAAAACTAACAAAAAGAAGAGAGGTGTTCAGCTTCAGAAAAAGGGAGGAGAAAACCCAACAGACCCGTGGGATAACAGACAGACAACAAGGCAGCACAGTAACCCTCTGAGCTAAACATGTGGCGGTTCTACCCTGGCGGGTCAGAGCGGGACAAGGTGGCTGGAAGGGCTTCCCAGCAGCGCCCGACAGGGCCACGTCTGAGGAGCAGATTTGGAAGCAGAGGGTGAAATGGCCCCTCCAGGCTGAAGGCAGCACTGGCAGCAACTGCACGCGTGATGGGGAGACGCTGCGAGAGGGACCTGGTGCGCGGGGGAGCAGGAGGGACGCGGCTGGGGCGGCCGCACTTACAGCCTTTGGCTTGAAGGGAGGTTGGATCTCCTTGCGCTCCAGCTTGTCCCAGTCGATGTAGCGGAAGAAGGCGTGTTCCTTGATGTCCCGCTCCCCCTCGGGGCCGCAGCCCAGGCGCTTGGCAGGGTGCTTGGTCATCAGCTTGGGGAGAGGAAGAGAAGAGACAGTCACTCACAGCATCTCCAGCTGCTTCCCAAAACGCCCGCTCGGAGGGGTCCCCCAGGGTGCTGTGCTGCCTGGCTGGGACATCAACCCAAACCCACAAAAAAATCCAAACAAAAACTAACAAAAAGAAGAGAGGTGTTCAGCTTCAGAAAAAGGGAGGAGAAAACCCAACAGACCCGTGGGATAACAGACAGACAACAAGGCAGCACAGTAACCCTCTGAGCTAAACATGTGGCGGTTCTACCCTGGCGGGTCAGAGCGGGACAAGGTGGCTGGAAGGGCTTCCCAGCAGCGCCCGACAGGGCCACGTCTGAGGAGCAGATTTGGAAGCAGAGGGGGAGATGGCCACTG